TGTTTTTTGGACTTTGACATTGAATACTGTTCGTTATCTCCATATCCTTCAATCAAGCTAAAAAGTTCATAAAATAATACAAAATAGGAGCAGAGCAAACATGGACCTCCAAAACATCAGAAGTGGGATCAGGTGCCATGGAGGAGTTAGCATCCCCTGCCGACCGTTCACACCCGCCCTGTGCTCCTTGTCATTATCGGGAAATAACGAAAAAATCCGTCGTCAATTCAGTGTATAAATAATTGACTAACAATCAGTATGAAAAACGTCAGTCAGCATTTAAATCAATTATAAAATGTACTTGCTGACAAGATCGTTGTATCGACCATAGACCTTAAGAAATGATGACTTGAAACAATACTGCTTGTTTCGTCAACTTGTTTGTCAATAATTTACCCCGTTTTAGATATTTTACGTACATAGAGCCTGCTCTTGTCTATCAAATCAACTGAGAGATATAAATCCCTATGCAGGTTATGGAGGGGTGTTGCTGCCATAAGTAAGGCGAGTTGACGATTGAAAAGTCGAAGTCATTACGTTTATCATAAAGCTTGGTTGTTAGATGACAATTAACATCTTTTTCAAGTAAAATACTAGTATTTAAATACGAAACAGATGTGTTAAACTCTGTGGTATCGTTTAACTCAAGCTCATCAGGATTTATCATATCGACATAAGAATGGAAATAACCACTGTTAATTGATAATACGTCGTCGATATCTCTACATGTCGAATTGAAGGCCACAGCAAGTGTTTTTTTTTTTCCTGTTCACGTATATAAAATTTTGTTCAAATTCTGCTTTATATGAATACAAAAATAGGTCTCCTAATAACGGGGTGTAATTGGTACCCATGGGAATTTGATACGTTGTTAGAAGACGTGGTCTCCAGAAACCACATAGATATTGTCAATCAGAAACTCAAGCATCTTTATTATGTCAACTTCAGAGTACTTGTGTGTACAATCAGAATGTTTTTTTTATAAATTAATTTTGCAAATGACCAATGAAAAGATAAGTTAATTGACGAGTTCCATTTTTATTTTAAAAAAAAGCTGTCAATGATATCAAAAAGCCTTGACTTTTATTTATCGTGGGGAATGGTTGTATGTTGCAACCACTATTGAAATAACAACCACTATTGAATTAATTGTTTCAATAGTGGTTGAGTGTGCATTTCAATAACAAACATAGATTGCAACTACTATTGAAATACGACCACTATTGAAATAATTATTACAGTAGTGGTTAAAAATGCATTTCAATAACAAACATAGCTTGTAAACACTATTGAAATACGACCACTATTGAAATATCTATTTCAATAATGGTTGAGAGTGCATTTCAATACCAAACATAGGTCGCAACCACTTTTGAAATAAAGATTTCAGTAGAGGTTCTTATTGCATTTCAAAACATAACACAAGTTTCAATCACTATCGAAATAAAGTTTTCAATAGTAATTGAAATAATGATTTCAAAAGTGATTTAAATTTTCTTTTGATAGTTACTGATAATTAACCCAATACTAAAACGACAATACAAGACTTATTGAAATAACTTAACTATTAAAAAATATAAGGATTAATTGTTCATTATGTTCTCCATCATTTTTAATTAATTAATTGAGTTTACTATTAAAATTACGACTGCTTATGGGTGAATATTTCAAAAGAAGTTGAAAATACGTTTCAAAACACTACCACATTCTAATCACTATTGAAATAACACCAACCATTGTAATAAACTTAATGCTAATTTCCTATAATTTAATTTAATAAGAAATTTAGCTTCTAATGCATTGACGAGTAGACGTTGGATCTACTATCCATATTTGAAGTGTAGGTAATTCTATGAATATAAGCGACAATTTAGTTCTATTCCATATTCTTTTTATTAAAAATAAACATATTTCCATCAGAAAGTTTGCATACAGGATTGTCTTCTTTCATCTTTTCAATGTAGTCTAGATATTCTAATTTCTACCTCTAGATGTATTTATGATCCTTTCCTTTTAAAATCAATGACAAAAATGAATTTTTTATAGAGAAAATTATTTCAAAATTGCATATTATTGATTGATTGTCTATTGCTTTGCGGCGATTCAGCCAGATTTAGCGGGGGCTTGCTTACAACATGTACATACATCTTTGAGATATAGGTAGGTCAGTTGAATAAAAAGTGTCTGTGTATTAATTGAAATTTCTACAAAAAAGGAAAACATAAAACAACTTAAGTTATATTTTAAACTCAATAAGTTTGTTAAATGTTTTAAAAAATAGAATGTTTAATTCATTCTTATACGTGTTTGAATAGTTGGGATACTTCTATAAAGCTTGCAATGTGGTTTTGGTATTGAAATCATTGTCAGCCACTATTAAAATAATCATTTTAATATCTTTTGGGATCATTGTTTAAAGCACTATTGAAAACAATATTTCAATCACTTTTGAAATCTATATTTAAATCATTATTGAAATCTTTATTTTAAAAGTGTACATTATTTCAACCTATGTTTGGTATTGAAATGCACCTAACCCTATTGAAATATTTATTATTATTTCAATTGTGGTCGTATTTCAATAGTGGTTGCAACCTATGTTTGGTCCTGAATTGCACTCTCAACCATTATTGAAATAAGAGTTTCAATAGTGGTTACAACCCATGTTTGTTATTAAAATGCACTCTCGACCACTTCTGAAATAATTATTTCAATAGTGGTCGTTATTTCAATAGTGGCTGCAACAGTTGTATATAAAGTTTTAAGTTTTTATGTTGTGACACTTTGTTTGAATGGATTACTGTACATGTATAAGATATATGGTAAAATTTCACATTTATCGATTGAGGGGAAATATGAAAACCATCTTATCCTTCTGTATTCAGTAATTCAGAAGTGGAAAAAGAATTAGATAGATTACATGATCAGTATGCAATGGTCCCTTCTGACAAAGCAGGTAACAACCTTGTCTTCGTTTGTAAGGCTCATTATATAAATTATATTTTAGAAGAACTTGTTTTAATTCTACTAGTGGTAACCCAACTATTACTAGTACTCATAGCTCCCTTTCAAAATAATACGTCATTTTGCGCGTGGCGAAGGAACAGTCACTATCTATGTTTACGACTTATATTAGGTTTGACGCGTAATTTCGTTGATAATTGTTTACAACAAAATAAACGAAATTAATCCCCACTAATATTTGTGCTTTTACAGTATATCATTGATTGTCAATTAACAATATTTATTTCAATTCCTATGTTGATATGATCTATCCCGGTAAGACGTTAATGGTAATCTAACAACCATGCTCTATGATAAACGTGATGACTTTAGGTTTTCTATCGTCAACTTCCCTTGCTTATGCAGCAATATACCTTCATCACCTGCTTACTGAGTCTATATATCTCAGTTGATTCGATACTCACGATCGTGCTCTACAGATGTACAATTTCTAAAATGAGGTAAATTATTGACAAACAAGTTGACGAAACAAGAATATCAGCAGTCTTGTTTAAAGTCATCATTTCGTAAGTTTTATGGTCGATACAATGACCTTGTCAGCAAATACATTTTATCATTAAGTCAAATGCTGACTAACGTTTTTCATACCAATTTTTAGCCATTACTTACACATTGAATTGACGATGGATTTTTCCGTTATTTCCCGATCATGACAAGGAGCACACGGCGGGTGTGACCGGTCGGTAGGGAATGCTCACTCCTCCATGGCACCTGATCCCACCTCTGATGTTTCGGAGGTCCGTGACTGCTCTGCTCCTATTTTGTACTGTTTTATGGACTTTTAAGGTTGAATACTGTTATCTCAATATATTTCATTTTGATGTTTAAGTGGTCCGTGTTTTCACTGCTTTAAAATTTCTAAAGTTTAATGAACTTTTTAGTTTGAATACTGTTCGTTATCTCCTTACATTTCAGTTTATTAAATCAAGTTTGTGCATGCTCAATGGAAATAAATCTTTTGGTAGAATGTTTTAAAAAAGGTGCAATATATAAAAAGTTTTTTACAAAAGAATTTAAAGTATACTCTTTACTAAGATTAATCGATTATTTATTCTTAAAAAAGGACCATGGGCAATAAATATTATCTCTCTGAATCCTCCTTTATTTTATTATATTTCTTTTTTGTTTCTTCGAAATACGCAATTCAGATATATTTTACAAATTACTATTTAATCGAAAATTGCTATTATTAGAAATGCTCTAATTATTTTCTTCGCTTTTATGACATTGCCATTTGAGAGATTAAACAACTTTATGTAAAAAAAAAAAAAAGACAGACATTACATCAAATCACGTGTTCCCTAATAGGTGATCGAATTCTTATCGCAAATGTTCTTTAATTAGATGTTTTCTAGTCTTCTCTCGTCCTTTATATAAACCTACAGAAGTTCCACATAATCTCATTAATTGATCGGGTTTTTGTATGTTCTGTCACGAGTAAAGAGTTGAACTAACAATAATTAGAAGACAAATCGCATCTCCCTATCCACTGAGTTCTGAGACCGCATCACTCACTTATAACTCCGACCAGATAGAAGTTGACGAGGAGGAATATAAAGCGTCAATGTGTTATACTCACAGCGAACTGCTGTAGTCGATTAGCCGATTACTGTCACACATGGGAAACAAAAATGAATAATATATATCCAATAACATCATGGGAGTATTGAAATAGAGACAAAAACTGGATTTTTTTTAACCACCTTTAATTAAGTGCACTTCAAACGACAGTCGAAATGAGTTTTAAAAATCGAAAACTCACCCATAACAAATTAACTGTTAAAGAAACAGTTATGCAAGATGTCCCTATACATAATTGATAGTACCATCGGAAATGTTTAAAAACACAGTTGTTCAGGTATTGAACATTCATCATTCCTATTCGTGGAGTGTTGACTTTTTCACGATTCTCAGTGGTGATTTTGTGTGGCGTTTGATCTCACAGCTGATTTTCCTCTCGGGTGGTGAATTTGTGGTGTTTTTGATATCACAATTGATTCTCCTTCTCTGTGGTGATTTTTTTGGTGGTGTTTTATCCCAGAGCAGATTTTCCTCCCGGGTGATGGGAAAGGATGGGATGCGGGACATCCATAGATGGACAATCTCCTTCATCTGAGAAAACCCCCGACCCCTGCCGGCCGGACCTTACCCCACGGCAGCAGGAGTTGGTACTATACAGCTGGGATCTCATCCAAAAGGACATGTTGGTCACAGGTCTAGAAATATACGCCAAGTAAGTTCAGGTCTTAGTCCTTATAAAGTAATCAAGGCTCATGTTTTCAATTAATTAACTTAATATTGTCTCCAACAAGTTAAGTTAATACAGAGAAACATATGGAAATAACGAAAAGTATTCAAGATCAAAAGTCCGTAAAACAATACAAAATAGGGAAGCAGAGCAAACACGGGCTCCCAAAACATCAGAGATGGGATCAGGTGCCATGGAGGAGTGCGCACCCCCTGCCGAAACTATTGGAATACGTACCCTTCTCCTCTGCGTTCCCTCCCTCCCCATTCATTCTGGTCAGTCTTTGACAAAGTTGAGCCCCAAAATATTCTTATTGGATTACTGGACTTACACCCTTCTTTACATTCTTGGGTATTTGTAAACACTTAGAGGATTTTTCTATTGAAGTATACTTTGAGATTGAATACTGTTCGTTATCTCCATATCCTTCTTGAAGGCAGAAGATTTTTATAGTGAGAAAACTATGAATAATCGTATAATGATTTACTATGGTAGTATGTACAGCTGACTGACATTTTTCCTACAAATTTTAGGAGATTTATCACAAATTGAATACTTTATGGACATTTTCCCCTTTGGTCTAATCACGGCAATCAATGCGGGTGTGACCAGTCGACAGGGGAAATTTACTCCTCCATGGCATCTGATCTCAAGTACGTCTGATGTTTTAGAGGTCCCGGTCTGCTCTGCTCCTGATTGGTATTGTTTAAGGACTTTTGATCTTGATAACTGTTTGTTTTCTACATACATATATTTATACAATATTTGTGAAATGCATATATACGTATGTATGAATTGTTACCAACTGAAGAAAGTTCTGAAACGTTCTTTCATTCAAAGAAGGATTTATCGAAATTAGAATTGGGTCATTTAGGACAGTTTTTCATTTTTGAGATGAAAAAAATATCAATTGCCTACTTGACTGTGGACTGACTGTTAAGAAACAAAACTCATTGTTATTGGTGCGTTATTAGTCTCCGAAATCTAAATGTTATATATTCTTGCCTATATGCTCCATATTTAAATCAAAGTACTGAAAGTACTGAAAAGCGGCTGTAAAATTGTACTTATAAAGAAAAAAACACGGTTTTACATTGACATATTAATTTAACAATCCATGACTTAAATCCAAAAATTAGATTTCAATATAATTTTTCTTTTGATAATTGTACAATAAGATAACTCTTAAATGCACAAAAACAGTACATAATAATGAAATAAATTTCCCCAGAGTCAAGACCTTGTGTCAATTCAACGTATTTAAAAAGCAAAACTACGTCAGTTATCCATCAAATATTGAATTTTATTGGTTAATTTTTGTTTAAATCCCTGTAGTAAAAAATCTGTCCTCTTAGTTGATTGTTTTTATTCTGTTTGTACTGTGTGGCCACCTACACTAGTTACCGATGATTTTTTTTCATCATTTTCCCAAAAATATCACTTCCTCTTTCATAAAAAAGGATTTTAAAAAAGAATGGTAAAATAAATAACTTTCCCCCGATATTTGAATGCAGTGGTAGTTGGTAGTTGGTACAAGCAGATCATTAATGAACATTGGCACATATAATAAACCTTCCGCATATTGTTTTTATGGTATTCAATATAAGCATTAACAATTCATTAATGTCTTTAAAACACTGTGACCGCGATGAAAGCCACATATATTGTAAGTCTAAATCTGTTATATGTGAATTATTAATGCTGTTCTATGTACGGGCTGTCCCAATCTATATTAGTTATTGCTAAGGGGTGTGAATCGTCCAAGGTTGTTTTTCTTTGTAAATGGTTGGAGAAATAATTAGATCGGTAACCATAACAGACACACAGAGGAAACGATAGCAAAGAGAGAGAGATGAAGGGAAAAGAAATGATAAAAACCGTCAAAAGACCTTCTAACAAAATAACATTTCATTTGAAAAAAAAAATTGTTTGTAACATTTTTTCTATAAGCTTGATACAGTGAAATTTTGCTTTATGTACATATATAATATTTACAGTTTATGAAGATTGTCGGACTGTCGAGCATTAATTTGCCAGCTAACTTTAGAAGTTGGGGTAGAAAGTCTTGTTTTGTTTGGATGGACAGAAATCATTATTTTAAATCCATATATAGAGGACGTCGTTTTTACAGTAAGGTTGATATGGACATGAAGACACATGTCTCTATCCCTATGGTTTGATAGGAAGGGGTATACGCCTGTTATTGCCCCGGAGTATACGCCTGTTATTGCCCCTATATACACTTGTTATCGCCCCTATATCTTTATGTTAACATTTAGGGCTCATTGTATTTGGGCGGATTTTTTAAAATGTCATTTCTTTTTTTTTTTTTTTTTTTAATTTTTTTTAATCATAGAAGGGTTCAGTCCTGTAAACAAAGCCTTGTTTCTGCATCTTTTTATAATTTATTGCCCAACATTCCTCGCGGCTGTTGCTTCCAAACTTTTCAATTATAAACAAACCTTACAGTGCATTAAATTAAAAAAAAATCTTACATAAAAAAAATCAATCCAAGTGTTTTCATGCTTCTTCATTTAACCATAAGCCCACTGGAAGGTTATTATTGTCAATATAGTTGAAAATGAAGACCTTGATACAAACTTCTTAATTAAAACGCCCTAAACATAGGGGGACCCAATCCTTCAAAATTTTTATTATCAATTCTACCAAAAGTTATACCAGACTTTGAGATAGTACTGAACACTTTAACAGAATAGATGTTTTAGAAAATAAATTAAAGAATCGTATAAGAAATTTGAAAGGTGGTATACGAACCATCTATTTTTCCCCTTTCCCTAAATGGGAAGTGATCAAAGAATTGCAAAGACTACACGAATACTATATTATAGTTCCACCCAACAGGGTTTGTAAAAACAGTCCTTGTTTTCAAGGCTTATTATCATAACTGTATTTTATAAGAAATCAGCTTTAATTCAACGTCTTGAAATCCAGCTTGTAGTTTATGTTTTATAGATGATCTTTTTTTTTAAAATCACCTTTCAGTTTTTAAACCTTTTTCTTCAAAGTGTCTAGCGCTTTGCGAAGGAACAGTTGCTACCTTTTCGACTTAAGTCCATTGTGGCCGAGATTCGAACTCAAGACCTTCCATTCCCACAAAAAGAAATTACATGTTTTCAAAACCTTCTATGTGAGAAGAAGAAAACATTTGTTGTCAACTTGCAGGAGAAATTGAAAGATCCAATATATCAGAAAGAACCAAAAGCCTCCCTGCCACTTCAAATAGAATGTTTTAGTTTGGAAATTTTTTTAACAAACCGTTGCTACGGGCCTACCCCAAATCATAATTTGTTTTGAATCCAGGATATCATAGCAGTGCCAGCGGTCTAATTCCATAGAAACTATTTTAAAAATGCACATATAATTTTGCATAAATTCACTTAACCTCGATGAATTATTTATTACAGAATGGTTTTGAAATCTTTTGATAATACCATGATAACGAAAGGATATATCCATCTAAAGCTCACTTGTGGATTCTAAATATGTATAAACTTATAAGCTGTGAATAGTCTGATCAGATTAATGAATAATTAAACGTTAGAAAAGGAAATTAACTGAGTTAAAAGAACCACTGCTTAGGGAAAATGAGATAGGATTTTGAAATGATGATCGATAATTATCTTTTTAACATTGAGTTCGAAGTCATAAATAAACATTAGATGTTTATTAGTTATGGGTTTTAAAATAATCAGAGAGGATTAGCCCATATTTAAAATCTAGAATCCGAAAGCACACATAAACCAACAACTTTTTAATGAAATATTTATAGAAAACGAACAGCAACGAACAGTATTCAAGCTCAAACGTTTATCAAATAATATAGATTTGAAGCAGAGCAAACCCGGGCCACTGAAAAATAAGAAGTGGAATAAGGTGCCATGGAGGAGTGAGTATCCCCTGCCGACCGATCACTACTGCTCCTTAACATGATCGAGAAATAGCGGAAATATCCGTAGACAATCCAGTGTGTAAATAATGGTCTAAAAAATTGTATTAAACATCAATCAACATTTGACTTAAAGACAAAGTATATTTGGTGATAAGGTCTTTGTATCGACGACAGAGCTGAAGAATTGATGACTTTAAACGAGACTGCTGATATTCTTGTTTCATCCACTTGTTTTTGAATTACCTACCTCGTTTTAGAAATTGTTAATTCGAAGAACATTTAACTGAGATATTTAAACTCCGTATGCAGTGATAAATATTTTGATGCATAAGTAAGGGACTTTGACGATTGAAAAGTTAAAGTCATCACGATTATCATAGAGCTTAGTTGTTAGGTTACCATTAACGTCTTTTTCAAGTAAAATATCCAAATATGGAACAAGTAATGTCAGACTCTGTGATTTCTTTTTTTTCAAGCTCATCGGGGTATATGATATTGACATTGTCAGTTGTCAATATGTAGTCGATTTTTCTATATTTCGAGTTGAAGGCCACAACAAGTGTTGTCTTATACTAGTATCACTCGATATTAAGATATATCGACAACGTATTATTAATTAACAATGGTAATTTCCATTCTAATGTCGATACAATATATTCTGGTGAGCTTGAGATAAAAGATACCACAGAGTCTGTCACATCTGATTTCATATTTGGATATTTTACTTGAAAAAGACGTTAATGAAACATTAGTAACAAGTCTTATAAATGTGATGACCTTAACTTTTCTATGTCAACTTCCCTTTCTTTTGCAATTTATACCTTCATCACCTGCATATTGGGTTTATATATTTCAGTTGATTCGAAACGCATGCTCTACGTATGAAGAATTTCTAAATCGAGGTGCATTATTGACAAACAAGCTGATGAAACAAGAGTTTCTGCTGTCTCGTTTAGAGTCATCATTTTGTAAGTTCTGTGGTCGATACAATGATCGTGTAAGCAAATACAATTTATCATTGAGTCAAATGCTGTCTGATATTTTTCATACTACAGTGATTATTAGTCCATTATTTATACACTGAATTGACGACTGTTTTTACCTTTATTTTTCTATCATGACACAAGGCTTGTAAAATAGTCTTAGTTTGCAGGGCGCTTTTTAATAACAACTGATTTTACCTCCGATGTTTTGGAGGTCCGTGTTCGCTCTGCTCCTATTATGTAATGTTAAATGGACTTTTGATTTTGAATACTGTTTATTTAACGTATAAGATTTTGAATAATCTGTAATTAAAATAACCGGGAGCAGTTTTTACCAATGGGAATTCCAATAGATTTTTGGAAGACCTGGTCTCCAAAAACCAAATTGTCAACCAAAAGCCCAAGAATCATTTTGATGTAATATTCAGAGTACTTGTGTGTACAGTAAGAATGCTTTTTAAAACAGAATGTCATTTTGATTAAACATGCAATAATTAAAGTCATTCATTATATGCATTAATTAAGCTTGTTGAAATTATCTTATGAATTCAGAAAACAACATCAAAAGGTATGTCATGTAATATGTTTAGACATTACTGAAGCATTAAATTTTTAGTTTTTAACTTAAGATGAGGGCATTTTTTTTATTTCAATATATTTGTTTATTTGTCACAATATAATGATAAAATTCACGTCATATGTATGCATCAAGCCAAAAAAAAAAAAAAAAAAGACGGTATTGTACACAGACAGGTCTCTCTGATATTGTATAACACTCTTTGACTAGTAGCAAACAGACAATTCAGAAAGCCATAAATTCAATGTGTTTGGTCTTTTTTATGATGAGCTGGTATTGTATTCTTTAATGCTCTGTGTATTTCAATTTAAGATCATTTTGCATGTCACGTTACATTGTTATTTAATTTTGATGAGAGATTTTGCATATTAAGGTAGTCCGATCCTCAGGTTTATAAAATTAGCAGCTAAGTTATCAAAAATACTCATAAAAGTATCGCTGAATCCAAAGTTATGTAAATTTATCCACAGTATTTCTTTAAAGTTATAGAATAAAGTTAATCATAATATATAGGGAAAATTGTCATTCTCCAATATTTTTGCAAAAAAGCGAAATGGAATATCAGCAATGCATTTTCTAATTGCAAATTAATCAACAAATATATTTTAGGTTAAAAAACAATAGGTATCGAAGCATTCAGAGAAATTGTCATGATTTTTATACTTATTTGATATTTTTTTGTTTTCTTCTTCCGTCATGTATTCTATAATGCATAGTGTAAAAAGCTTTTGCTATCACTGCAAGACACCACAAATCACTTCTCATTTCAAATCATGATAATAAGCATTGGTATCTAAGGCTGGATTCAAGAAAATCTTATTTCTCTAAAACCGTAGTAATTTTTTCTCCTTTTACAGGGTACAAATGTCAACTTTTATAAGACCTTGAATCTTATAAAGATGAATAAAATGAAAATTGTTGCATGAAAAAAAAATTCATTTTTAAGCTTCATTTTGATGCATTTCAAATTAAATATTAATTTTTGGAGTTATCCTTTCTGGCTGAGGATTGGATATCCTTAAGTTGTTCATTCACTAGAATTTTGAAACACGTTGTATGGAAGATTGCTGATTTTGGCACCTCTTCTATAGTTAAAAAAATCGTATATAATGTTTAGATCTTTAGTACACGTTTTATAAATAATAAAATACACAAAAAATATAATTATACGAATGCCAATTATTAAAGACTGTTCTATGAGAGGATAAATAAAGTTTACTTATTTTGATCGAGTAAACAATTGGTGTGAAAATAATGGCCTAAGAATTTGCAGGAAAGACATCCGTAAATATTCGACTTATGAATAAATTGAAATTCCAAAGCAGGTTTCCGAAATGTTGACTTTCAACGAGACTGTTGATATTCTTTAGTTCTTCTCTGCTAAATAGACCAAAATACTGAATATGGATCTATATTCGTAGCCATTTAGCGAGGACTGGTGGCATCTCAATATAAATGAAAAATCTCAAAAGACACGATTAACAAACAAGCTCTGAATGACAAAATAAAAGAATCATTGACCAATATTGCAAGTTTTGTAAGCAAATAAACCGATGATCGAGCAAAAAGCACTGCCCCTAAAAACAGTAACACACATTTCCTGTCGACCGTCACCCGCCACATCCGACGTGACCCTTCCCACACCTCACCCCTATTTGAAAGGATAAAACGCACTTTGGTATGAAATAATTCAGAATTAAATGGGGGACAATTCGCGAATCAACAAAAACAACTTCATCGAGGATGCACTTCTAGAACCTAGCTATTTCAGTCCATCTATCAATATATCTTGTAACTCTGTGATGGGTTCGTTTGTTATCGCTGTGTGCTGTAATCGCCCCAGATCACGATTAGTATCATCAAGCACGCGAAAACAGCATTGTCTGACGGAAGACGTGATGCACGCACGACTCAGATCCTAGGTTTAATCCAGAAAACAGAGATTGTTCCTATAAAACAGACTGTCTATTGCTTCCTGAGGACCCGCTTACGGGTTTTAATTTTTACCTTTGTGTTATGAAACAAGCACTTGTTATTGGACAATATTGAAGCTATATATGAGATGTGTTAAAATGATAGAATTTGCTGTGGAGCAATTCATCAGATATACAGCATATCATCAAACATAACAATCTAGAACAACATCATGTACAGCAGTAAATCTATATGATAAACGTGATGACCTTAGCTTTACCTTACTTATGCAGCAGTATACCTTCATCACATACGGAGTGTGTATATCTCAGGTGTTTCGATACGTAGGAGTATGCTCTACGTATGAACAATTTCTAAAACGAGGTAAATTATTGACAAGCAAGTTGATGAAACAAGAATATCAACAGTCTCGTTTAAAGTCATCAATTTGTAAGTTGTATGGTCGATACAATGACCTTGTCAGCAAATTCAATTTATCATTGAGTCAAATGCTGACTGACATTTTTCATACTCATTGTTAGTCCATTATTTAAACACTGAATTGACGACGGATTTTTCCGTTATATTCGCGATCACGGGTGTGACCGTTCAGCAGGGAATGCTCACTCCTCCATGGCACCTGATCCCACATCTGATGTCTTGGAGGTCCGTGTTTGTTCTGCTCCTAATTTGAATTGTTTAATGGACTTTGATATTAAATACTGTTCCTTATCCCCATATCCTTCCTTACATTAAAATGATGTGTTATTATGGGAAAAGGTGAAAATAACGGACAGTGATCGATCTAAATAAATATCTACAGACAGAACAAGTATGTGAGTAGGGCATTAAAAACGACCCCTAAAAATTTCAGAGCTGGAATCAGGTGCCTAATAGGAGTAAACATCCTCTGTTGACCGATAACACCCGCCGTGATCCTATCCACTGATCTGGTAGACTGGACATTCCGTAGTGAAATATTGGTATGCCAGGCGGGGCTATCATTTAGTGAGCTCATTGCTCACACTACCTTTACTTTGAATTGAATCTTTTTCTTCATATGTTTCAAATAAGGAAAGGATTTGGCAGACTCGGTGTTGTCTTTCATTTCAAGCGCTGATAAAACCGTCGTGTACATAAAAATATAGTTGAATGTCTAGTTGAAGGCAACAGCTAGCTGGGTTTTTATTAAGTCTTGCGTAGAAATACTAAAATATAATGATCCTGGGGTGTGTATGACTACATGTATATGCTTCAACGAAACAAAATGCATTAAAAACTCCTCTCATATCACTTAATACAATTTAATGAGACTTTCACAGAATGTTCCATACAAAGTGCTATTATGACCTTCTCTTTTACATTTGGATCGGACATATATTTTTGGTTTCCCAGAGCAAAACACTGACGCAGCCATTCTTTCTGTAATATTGAGGGGTTTCCATTTCATCTCCGCAACTCCTCTCAAATCACTGAATAAATTTTGATGACACTTTTACAGATTCTTTATTACATAATGCCATAGTGCACCTTCTATTTTAATTTTTGATCTGACAGGTGTTCCTGGTCTCCCAGAGCAAAACATGCCATTATAACCGTATGGGAGGTGGGGGTGTCATTTAGTGAGCTCATTGCTCACACTAGCTCTTAAGTTTGAATTGAATTTTGAGCTTGAATACTGCTGTTTTTCTCCATATGATTCAAATATGAAAAGAATGTGACAGACTCGGTGATGTCTTTTATTTCAAGAATTGATAAAACCGTCGTCTACATAAAAAATTATTTGAATGTCGAGTTGCAGGCAACAGCTAGTGCTTTTTTATCTTACTTGAAATTTTTGAATAATTCGGATTGAATAGGAATATAAAATATGTGGATTTTAATGCAATGACATAGTATAATCTTTATAACACACAAGAATATAGACCGTAACAACCATTTAGGCAAGTGACGCATCACTAAAATATAACGATCATGGGGTGTATATGCCTATGTACTTCAAAAGAAAAAATAATGCGTTAAAAGATACAGGTTCTGTGAGCACTGTGCTTAGTAAATGATACTCCACGCCTCCCATATGATTTTAAGTAAAGTTGATGGTGTATAATGAAATTATGTAATAAAGAATCTGTGAAAGGATCATTAGATTTTATTGGTATAAGAGGAGTTGCGGATAAGAAAGGGGTATTCTCTTCAAAATTATATATACAAAAAAGGCAGTGTCAATGTTTGCTCTGAAAAAGGTCATATGATTCCTTTTAAAATGATAGGTTCTCTCCTTGTAACAAAGGTGTGGTATAAGAGAATTTGCGGATAAGAAATGGGTACTCCAAAGCTTAACAGACAGACAAACAGACGGATGGACGTAAAAAAACATTCCGATAAAATCTCATTTTTCAGAGGGGGGGGGGGGAGGCGAGGCTACATGCTTCTTCTTTCGGCATAATCTCTTGAATAACATATGTTTGATTTGACCATCATCGGATGTTTTTTTTTCCTTAAAAAATGTGTCAATTCTTTTATCATTTTTGAATTTTTCAGTTTTCTCAAGAATTTAGAGTCGGAAATTCTTCTCCTGTTTCCAAAAATAATTCAAACGGACGAACACAATGAAAAATTGACAGTGCACGAAGAAAACCTTCAGCATCACGTGATGATCGTCATGAAAGGGATTGGTAAAGTCGTGGACAACCTTCACAACCCGGCATTAATCCAAAGCTTCCTTAGTTACGTCGGCCAAAGACATGTGCAGAGTAACGTAAAACCCCACATGCTAGAGGTACGTTTAATTTAAGGAATGAAGCTAAGTTTTACCTATGTTATACAATATGACATAACTTGGGACAGTTAACGCTTTATAAACTGCGAAGTTATGTTATATCGTATAACATAGGTTAAAATAAGCTTAATTCCTTATATTTTAATTTCAGTACAGACAATAAGACAATATTTCCTCCAAAAAGGCTTCAAATTGAGCATATTTTAAAATCAACATACGTTTTTGACGTAACACATTGTGACGTAGGCAACTAAGGTTATACAATATAAAATATTCTTTTATCCAAGTAAATGACTACAATTAAATTATATGTAAATAATCAAAAATCTGAACCTGAAATTGTTTTTTTTTTTGTTTTTTTTTGTTTTTTTTTGTTGTTGTTGTTGTTGTTGTTGTTTTTGTTTTGTATGTATGTTTTGTTTTGTTTTTCGAATTCGTGGAACATATATTCTGAAATTTTTGGCGAAGCATTAAATATTCATTATACTCAGTAATCAAATAATCAGTTTACCTACAACATGTCTATGTTTTGAAAACAAAATTTAAATCATGATGTATATTTTCAGTACCAGTATCTACTGTAACTATTAAAAAGGTACCAATCAAGGGCATAAACTATGGGCTATAGGCCATGCATTTCATAATTTTGGTATATAGCTAATTGCTTCTAACCATGTCAAGAGTTTGTGTTCGAGATGTGTATACTAATGAGTGAAGATTTTCAAAGGTTTATTCTAGTGATCGTAATATACTAGTAATCCATGTAGATCCACTGGAACCCGAATGAAGAATTTAAATTCAATAATTTTAATTTTATTTTATTCATTTTTGCAGAGAATTTAACGATAATAATGATGCAACAGTTTGCCTGCTAGTTGAAGCGTTCCATGGGTAAAATGGGATATTTTTTTCAATATATATGACCGTATTAACAAATACAATATGCCATTAAGTCAAATGCTTACTGATATTTTTTATGCTTATTGTTAAACAATAATTTACACATGAATTGTGAACGAATACTTCTGTTATTTTCCGATCATGACAAGGAGCACACCACGGGTCTGACATGTCGGCAGAGGATACTCATTCCTCGATGACACTTAATCACACCTCTGAATTAAGTTTTAGAGGTCCGTGTTTGTTATGTTTTAATGGACTTTTGAGCTTGAATACCGTTCGTAATCTCAATGTTTTTCATTATGACCAATGAAGCCCACTCCTCGACCATGGGCTAAGAAACCAGTATTCAAAACTTTGGAGGAAAGTATTTATTAAGATCATGCAACCAATTTGTCCATGAGTAACTTGAAGCTTTGTTTTTTTTTAAAATGTATCAAATTTTACATATGTTGAATACCGTGAACCCCATACTTTCGATTCCATACTTTCGATTCCAATAAACTATCTTTTCATTAAAATCAAAGTTATCGATACAAACTTACATTTGACTTCTTGAAACAGTTTCTCTGGAAGGATGGGCTTTTGGAGTAGAATATGAGTTACAGAGTAAATGTTTTTTGGTTTACCTGACAACTGCAATTGATTTGTTAAACCCCAGAGAGGGTAAACATGAGAGAAATATAATTATACATTATTAATGAATGATTCCTTTTGCGGTAAGTATGATGTTCTAGTCACGCCCTGAGAGACAAAAGGGATTCCTGGTGAACGAATATTGAAATCAATGAGAGAAGGATGTTGCTAGTGAAATTATTTTTAATTTAATTTTAATTGGTATATATTTTCTAAATTGATATGAATGTTTTCGTCATCAGTTGATGTTTTATTCACAAATCCGAAGAAGACCTGCCTCAAAAAACCTCACAAAAGCTAACTAATTTTTTGTAGTTTTTGAAACAATAATTATGCAGTTTAATTTTTTATGCAGAAATAATTGTTCTTCATCAATAGAGGCCGGTCCTTCGGATGAGACTATATAAACCGAGGTCTCGTGTCGCAGTAGGTGCTGGTACGAAAAAGCTCCCTTCCTACTCAAAGGCCCTGACTGTACAATGCATGTCGAGTACTAGTATAGGACAAAATTTGCAGCTCTCCATCGGCAAGTGGTGCGACTCCATATGAAAAATTATCGAAAGGGAAGTTAAACAATATACAATCAATCAATCATCAATGGAGGAGGAAAACTTAAATGAGATATGAAGATAACAAACAGTAACCTTTTGGAACAATGCCAATAAACAGCTGAACAAACACAAACCCCTAAAAGAACATAAAGTAGTAAGCATTCTCCGTCAACCGGACACACACTAGCTAGGTTGTCATGATCGGACAAACAGTAAAATCCACAGACAGTTCAGTGTAAAAGTAATAGCCTAACAAACTGAAAAACGTCGGTTAACCTTCAACTAAATTATAGATTGTATCTGCTATCAAGGACAATAGAACTTGCGAGATGCAGAGTGTTGATATCTTTGTTTCATCCACTTTGGTGTCAATAGGTTGCCTCATTTTGGAAAGTGTTAGTTTGTAGAACATGCTCTTGAGTATCAACAAAACGTGCAGACACACATTTTCATAAGCAAGTGTTAATGAAATATCGCTATATAAACAAAGGGGAGGGGGTTGAGTATAGAAAAGTTGGTCATCACAGGGTGGGAAACGTCCTATATTGAAAGTCGTCTTTTCGAGGCCACAACAGGGATCAAAGTTTTGCATAATATTTACTTAATAGAAAAACTGTTGATAAAGAACAGCAGGGCCATATTTATTCAGGTAAGTGTTGTGGACCAGGAATCTTGTGGTGAAAATGCTTTGTCCTAAACCCGGGCCGTCTTAGCAGTGTTTTAAGGATTTAAGAGACCTATATAAATGACACTGTATATAAACTTAATTTGTGATAAGTAATAATGTATTTTCCAGAGGCTTTGGTCGTCGATTGATGACAGCTTTCGAACTGTGTTACAAGACGTTTACACCCCGGATGTTCGGACCTCATGGAAAATTGTTGTGGACTTTATGATCGAGAAAATCGCAGAATCGATGGAAGAAGCAGAAAAGAAGCAGGACTTCCGGTTAGCTAATGACAGAAATTCCAGCTTTGCTCACCTGGCCGATTAACCTGAATTAAATCTTCGCCGCACAACTTATCAAGCACCCTGTGATCATGTTTATGTTTCAGACTTGAAACTAATCCCTGGTTTCATTCATTTTTTTTCACAATCTGGTGTCATTGGAAGCACCAGTTTCAAAAATGGTTCTCCTGTTGGATCAGTATTCTTGTGTAAAAATGTGAATTTGTAAGAGAGGAAGAGAGAGAGATTTCTTTTTTCTTTATTAGAATAAAATCATTTATATACTTTCATCTGAATTGATTGAATGATCCAACTGCTCAGTATGAAGAAGGGACAAACGTATGGGATTCAATATATTAATGTGTTGAAACTATTAACGTTGGCCTGGAAATGGATCACAATTCAAACACGACACACAATAAATGAAAATTTTAAAAGGAAACTAATGTCGTCAAATCTGTGTAATAAAGTGGTCATGTTTAGAGGCACTTGGGATGTTATTAATTGTCTTCCAAATTGCTGGAATCTATCTTGAGGTCAATCTTTGGTCAGTGCTGTTTCAGATTTGATACACTTTGCCCATAAAATAAATTAAGTAATAAGAAAGACTGTAATATTAGCAGCTGCATATATACTTATCTAGCTCGCTTATAATTGAAGCGGCTGTCATTTAGTAAATTGTATTTGATTGTTGAGATAAGGGGATAACGTGTTCTTATTGACCTTTTAGCAAGTAATGTCGAGGTCCAGTCAAATAATTTGTGGAAATACACATAACTCCTTAAATTTTGTCGATAAATCTGCCTAAAAACATTATTAAAAGAAATAGATATTACTGGCAGAATTTTAAAAAGTTTTTTGTTTAAAAATTAAAATTGTAAATTTTATTGCTTCAAATTACTATTCCTAGGGTCCCATTGTCGGTTTTTGTTGGTACAATTGCACCTGATTTAACTTTTCTTGAACCCTAATGGAGGAATTAAGTGAAGGACTCAGCGATTTATGCTGATTCCACTGGATTTAACTTTTCTTAATTCTGAGCATAATAATTGATTTCCTCACGTCAGACAATCCTTATAGGAAAGCTAATACTTTTTTCTGCTATACTGTTAGAAATTGAAATGTTCTGTATAGCTCCAAAATAAGACTGTGAAGCCAGTATATTGAATTAATCTTTTACTCCTGATATTTGTTGAGTAATCTCAGGAAATAAATAACCCCAGCATACTACATGTATCATACTCTCGGCAAGATTTGAGACATAGAGTCGGTCAGAGTTACCCCTCTTAGCAGAGAATCATCGTGATCGAGTACGATTGCCCTCAATATCATGAATAACTACTTTTCAAAATACAAAATTAGCAAGTGCCTGTACTGTACTGGACATATTTTTTTAATTGGGTTTAAAATTCAGTCTCATTGGATTTTTCTCACCAAATAGTGTTTTATATGATTTAAGAAACAGTCTTTAAGCCGGCCAATCTAAAGTCATAATAAAGGGTTTACCTTCAAGGTATAATATAAAATGGAAACCAAATATACAGAAATGTTTCATCAATTAACAACAGATACGTCCATTCATAACTCGATTTGATATCTCCTGTAGAACTTGAAATAAAAGACATTTCTATGTCATATTCGGACGTTTTACAATCTACTGATGGCAACTAAATTGTTTTACAAACGAAGTGACTTCAGCTTCTTCATCTTAAACGTTTTTTTTTTTTTTTTTTTTTTTTCAGCATATACCGGTATTACTGGAGTATTCCGTTTTCGCCAGCATATTGTGTCAACGTTTTCTACCTTACACGATACTCAAGAGTATACTCTGTGTACATTCAGTTGATAAACTGAGACAAGCTAGCTACTAACAATAACGTACTTTGATGTTACAGGGATTTTAACAATCTCGTCCAGAGTCAGCAATTCGTAAATTCTATCACGAAGGAAATATATGAAGATAACGAACGGTATTCAAGCTCAAAAGCCCTTAAAAATACAAAATAGGAGCAGAGCAAACACAGACCTCAAAAACTTCAGAGGTGGGATCGGTTGCCATGGAGGAGTGATCATCCCCTGCCGACCGGTCCATCCGCTGTGTGCTGTGTGGTCCTTGTCATATTTGGGAAAAAATGGAAAAATCCGTCAACAATTCAGTGTGTAAATAATGGCCAAACAATAAAAGCATTAAAAAACGTCAGTCAGCATTTGACTTCATGATAAATTGCATTTGCTGACAAGGTCATTGTATCGACCATAAAACTTAAGAAATGTTGGCTTAACTTAGGAAATGATGGCTTTAAACAAAACTGCTGATATTCTTCTTTCATCAACTTGTTTGTCAATAAAGTAACCTCTTTTAAGAAATTGTTCATACGTTGAGCATACTCTTGCGTATGTAATCAATTGAGAAATATAAATCTCGAATGCAGGTGATGAAAGTATACTGCTGCATAGGTAAGGGAAGTTGACAATTGAAAAGTTTAAGTCATCTCGTTTGTCATAAAACTTGGTTGTAGATTACCATTAACGTTCTTTTCAAGTAAAATATCTATATCTGTGCCAGACTCTATGGTATCTTGTATTTCAAGCTCACCGGGATATATCCTATCGACATAAGAATGGAAATAACCATCGTTAATTGACAGTTGAAGGCAACAGCAAGTGTTTTCTTCTTTTCACGTATAAGAATTTGGACACATTCTGCTTCATAAGAATACAAATATAGGTCTGCTAATAATGGGGTGCAATTGGTACACTTTGGAAAAGACAGTTGGACAATCTGGTCTCCAAGGACCACAAAGATATTATCAATCAGAATCTGAAGCATCATTTTAATATCAACTTCAGAGTATTTGTTTGAACAGTCAGAATGTTTTTAACAAATAAATTGAAAATGACCAAAGACAAAGTGGGTTAATATACGAGTTCCATTTTGATTGAAAAAAAACAGATGTAAATGATATCAAAAAATCTGGATTTTAAGTTATCGTAAGGAGGAATTATTGTATATATAAAGATGAAAAGTTTTTAAGCTGTGGATTTAGTTAAATTTTGTGACTTTAAATTTTCCAAAAGTTCCTTGGAATTTTTAAATATTCACATTTGCTTTACACCACTTCTCGAATATTTTGTTGCACAGTACTCATAAAGTTTTTCCTTCGCCACTGTCAATATTTTAGTGAGAAGTGAAGAAAGAGGCTTGGTAGAACGTTTACTGGAACCCGCTATGTATCTTTGTAAAGATTTTTATGAAGATCGATTTGGAATCCAATCTAGATATGGCAATTCAAGTCAATCTGGTTGTTTGGAATATAAAAAAATGTTCAACACTAACATTTTGAATTTTTTCTCTTTAGAAAGGCAGTTATGAGTATAAGTAAGACTACCACTTGTAAAATTAGATCCAATCATCTATCGTGTGAAATAGCTTTAATAACAAATCATACATTGGATGAACATTGGGTTGTCGTATTTTTGATAGAAGTGTTTCTTACTATACATGGTACTCAAAGCAAGGAGTGATATGTGAAGAAGGGATACTTAATCCTCCTTGGCACTAGATCCCACCTCTGAAAATAAAATTATGAAATATATGGAGATAACGAACAGTATTCAAGATCAAAAGTCCATAAAACATTACAAAATAGGAGCAGAGCAAACACGGACCTTCAAAACATCAGAGGTGGTATCAGGTGCTATGGAGGAGTGAGCATCCCCTGCCGACTCGTCACACCCGCTGTGTGCTCCTTATCTTGATCGGAAAAAATACGTCGTCAATTCAATGTATATTAATGGACTAACAATAAGTATGAAAAACATAGGTAAGCATTTGACTAAATGATAAATTGTATTTGCTGACAAGGTCATTTTATCGACCATAGAACTTACGAATCGATGACTTTAAACGAGACAACTGATATTCTTGTTTCATCAACTTGTCAATAATAAACCTCATTTTAGAAATTGTTCAAACGTAGAGCATGCTCTTTTGTACCGAATCAATTGAGATATATAAAGTCCGTGTGAAGGTGATGAAGGTATATTGCTGCATAAGTAAGGGAAGTTGACGATAGAAAAGTTAAAGTCATCACGTTTATCATAGAGTTTGGTTGTTACATTATCATTAACGTCTTTTTCAAGTAAAATATCCAATTATGAAACAGACGTGTCAGATTCTGTAGTATCTTTTACTTCAAACTCACCAGGATATATCGCATCGACATACGAATGAAAATTACCATTGTTAATTGACAATATGTCGTCGGTATGTCTTTATATCGAGTTGAAGGCCACAGCAAGTGTTTTCTTATATTCTCGCATAAGATTTTGTACAAATAATGCTTCGTATGAATACGAAAATGGGTATGTTATCATAACGGGGTGCTGTCAGTTTTTGGACGAATAGAGCGGGGAATAGACAAGGACAAGAAGCGGGAAATCAACGAGGACAATGCTACTTAAATGAGTTGTGAACATTAGTCCTCCTGACATTTCAACTGTATATAAAACCATGCACTACATTTAAAGTGCAACCTTTTTTATTGACAGCTGCTTTTTTAAATAAAAATGTAATTTTCAATTTTACTTACCTTGAAATTGGCCATTTGTAAAATTATTTCGTTAAAACTTTCTGATTATACACACAGGTACTCTGAAGTTGATAAAAAAGATTCTGGAGATTCTAGACGATAAACTGAGAACAGACTTATCAATGAGACAAAATTTTGATTTTGAATATCTCGAATTTTATCAAACAAATGTGTATAAAAACTTTGTTCAAACATATGTTCAAATTTTTAATTATCAAAATAATTTGAAAAAATTATATTAATTTGAAATGTTGACTTAAGTCTGTTCTCAGTTATGGTTACGTTACTATAGATTAGTTTATCCTGTTTTTTACGGAAGAGCTCCTGTCATATGTTTCGGGAAATTTAACGTGCAGGGCTACGTTTACGGTCTTATATACGATATTTTGTAAAACGCTACCTACGCACACGTAAATTTAGTCGTAAAGTGTACGTTTACGTTACGACCTTTAGTTAAACTCGCCCCGTTAATGTTATATTTTTGTATATCAAGCAGAATTTGTTTAAAATCTTTTACGTGAAAAGAAGAAAACACTTGCGGTGGCCTTCAAATTCAAATTTAGATATATCAACGACGTATTGTCGATTAACAATGGTTATTTCAATTCGTATGTCGCTACGATATATCCCGATGTGGTTAACATAAAAG